GCGAACTGAAGGCGCATGAAAACCTGGCGCACTGTGAGCCATCGACCCACTTCCAAAATTCTCACCAGCCTATATCCATGCCACAATTTGGCATCTACACTGTGGAGGCAAATGTTTACCTAACGACCCAAAATACCTACCCGCTCGTGGAATTTCGTCTCCCCAGGAAAGACAATGCTAAAATGGAGGAATAATCTAGGGAAGCTGGATAGCCTTATTTGCCAAATGACAGATGAGTCGAATAGGCAAGATTGTGCACCAGTGTGTTGACATTTGACATAGACATAGACATAGACATAGACATAGACAATAGACAAGATTATGCACCACCCTAGATGCATAGCTAGCATAGCAGCCATGACATTTGAATAAAGAGCGATAACAATCATCATCCCTACCCCCTCCCTTCCCGGTCATCTGGCCCGCCTTCCAGAAAAAAAGTTCCTGAAGTGCATCCCGAGCTTGCCCCCCACTTTTTAAAACGTTCGTACGCCTATGCCCAAAAGTAAGTTTGGAAATGATGAAGTCATGGGTATCATGCATTACTATCATCGTCATGCATTACCATAGGTCCGGTGTTCAAATTTAAAGAAGGATTGCCTATCATTTCCACTGAAGGTATCGAGAGCACACGCATTATAAGTGTGTAAATTGCCACCATTATTTTGCCTAGATGGGATATGTTTTAGTCATAGTCATAGTCTGTGAACGGGGAATATTTCCACTGAAAGTATCGAGAGCATAGGGACTATAAATTTGTAAGTCGCCGCCATCATGTTGTATAGAAAAGGATGGGGTTTAGTCATAGTCACAGTTAGTCATAGTCATTGCTATTGTAATGAAACAACTATCTGCGCTAGCCACTCACCAGATGTCGCCAACATTTGATAGATGAATTGACGTATGCTGCAACCATCTGGCGCATTTGCATCAGCCGTATTTAGCTCATTGACTATTCTGACATCAGCAGATGGCGCATTTGCATCAGCCGTATTTAACTCATTGACTATTTTGACATCAGCAATACCAACGAGCCATGGCACAAAGGCAGAGCGGAAAGCCACAAACGCTGCGAGAGTGTTCGGTCTTTTTTCTTTTAAGCATTGGTTTGTACTCTATGACCCTACTTATGACATCACACCTTCGCTGATTATATTAAATGCAAGCAGCCAAAATCAGAACAAAAATCAGGGCGTAGAACGGTGTAAAATGAATGGTTTTATGCAAGAACTGAGGCGACTCAATAGCATCACTGATGTACTAATCATCAGGGCCTCAACAATAATGTAGTTACATAATCAATATTCCGGGCTATCGTCCTCAACAGGCACTTTAGCAGGTGCATAATCTTTCGTTCGGTAAGTTCAGTTAGTTTTTCTGGTCGTATTCAGGTGTTATTGAGTCCTGAATAATTGATGATGTCGAACAGTCAAACATAAAAAGGATCATGACACGGAACATCTCCCTGGACTTCCAAGACGTAATTCATGCTGTCATTGCGACAATTCCAAGACTCGCAATTCCTTCAAACTCCAGCAATTCCAAGACGTAATTCATACTGTCATTGCGGCGAATATTTGAGGGGACCTTTTCCAAGTGATTACAAGTGTTGTGAGTAGGTAAGCTGTCGCCAGAATGTCCTTTCCCAAGACGGACTGACGGGACCGGGATCACTTGACCTTAACTGCGGGATCCGGTGACTTGTGAGACGCCAGCTGCAGCGGTGAGCGCAGGAGGCTGTGAGGTCAGCTGCAGCGGTGAGCGAGGGAGGCGGTGACACGTCAGCTGCAGCGGTGAGCGAGGGAGGCAGTGACGCCAGCTGCAGCGGTGAGCACGGGAGGCTGTGACGTTAGCTGCAGCGGTGAGCGAGGGAGGCGGTGAGCGAGGAAGGCCGTGACACGTCAGCTGCAGCGGTGAGTTTAGGAGACAGTGACTTCAGCTGCGGCGGTGAGCAAGGGAGGCGTTGCCTCGGCCGCCGGTCATCGGATGCGCCGATGACCACGATTGACCTCGGTCAAGTCAGCCAGCCCAGCGGCAGGCACATCAGGACGGCTCTGGGACATCAGCGGCCGGGCCCGATTTGCGACCCGTCCGGTCACACCCGCGGCCAACAGCAAAACCACTCCAACCGCAATGGCACACGGCAGGAGCCGCGCGGCACACGTACGGTCAGTATACTAAACGTTAAGCGTGGCCCTGTCGGCCACAATGCTCGATACATATTCATGTTTGGTTGCCGAGCCACCATATTTGGAGCACCCTGCAGTGGAACATAACTGAAGCACGCCACATGGGAAGTAAACACACCACATTTATGATAATATGCTCGATGGCCTTGTAGTTTCTGTTCGCGAACGCCAAGGATATCACGTCATTCCACCTGCTCGTCCGATGTGTTATGTACAGCTATTTTGCGCTCTGAAGAATATCTTGAACCTGGTCTCCGTTGAGATCAACACATGCAATATTTCAAAATGCAAAACCTCCCAAACGCGCTTCGAGTTTCATGCTTCTGGTACAGTTCCCGGTGGCCGCGCCACCACAACGCGACGGACCACGCCAAGGCTTGATGCGTGACCGAAGCGCCACATACCGCGGCCAAAATAATCCGTCAGAGCGGCATTCACGGCTCACACGTCACGGGCAGAGACGGCTACATCGTGGAAGGCGGATCGTGCGAGCACCGGTGCACAGTAACTCCAAGGTATATGTGGCTTCCGCTATGGCAAGCAAAGCCCTCCGTGTTCCTTGGCTCAATACAATCCGCTGACTTAGCGGACCAAGTTACAGCAGACCAACATTCATGGATGTTGCGTCACAAAGAGTCGACAACTGCACCCAAAACACCATTCACAGCTGACCGGCCTCGGGGCGTGCGCGTACGGGCGGCGTGAACCGAGCCGCTGCGTCCGGCGCCGGCGCGGACAGCGGTGCCACCGTTCCATGCGGGTGGGTGTCGCGTCCGCGTCGTCGGACAGCGCCGCCGGACGGATGGTACAGCCAGCCGCCCGGCCGATGAAGTCACCGGACCGGTTTGTCTGCAGAGTCCGGCTGGGGCTTGCTGGAGCCATGCCAGCAGCGGCAGGGGTCGCCGGACACCGGGCGTTTTCAATGTTTCGGGCGACAAAGGCGCTCGGCACCTGCAGCTTGTAAACACCACCCGCAATCTGCCTTCAAGCATGTTGGAACGTTGAGTGTATGCAACGCCAGTCTGCCGGGCTGAGCGCGCGATGCACTTGCTCAGCAAATCCCCAATAGGAAACGCCATTACACACGACATGGCCACGGATATGTGAACAGTACCAGGCAGGAGCAGATAGCTTCGCTCCATCTCTTGGTTCGATCGCATTCTCAAACGTTTCGAAGGAGAGCTGACAGCGTGTCGTCCGAGCTGACGGCCGTGGCCGGCCGGGTCGCCGAGCTGCAGCGGGGCCGGACCTCGAGGTGCCAGGGCACGCCGGGGGCACGCGTTACCCAGCCGCCGAGGGGGCGCGATCAGAGACGTGACTCACCTGACCTCGGCGAGGGCACCGCTGGACAGCCAGATAGTGCAGCAGTCAGGGCGTCAGGGGGCCAGCCCGGGCCGCTTGGGGAGCAGCACCGGCCTGCTGTTTCAGCAGCTCAGCTGTTCCGCCCTCAGCTGTGATTGTTCGCTCGAGCGCGCTGTGCGTGACTGCGGACTGTGGCACAGCGGTAGGTTTGTGAGGTCAGCTCAGGACAACCAAAGCATGATAAGGTTAAAATCACGCCCAAGGCGCACACTAGATAACCGGGACTCAAGAAGGTCCTGGACATCTGCTCTTAAGATAAACCTTCGGCACTGGTGTTCAGTATGACAGCATGTCTAGTCGAGATGCCCGAGATCATTGTCATCGTCGCTGGTTAATTCCCGGTCGTATTCACACGCTCAATCAGTGTCAACTATTGGCATATTATTCACAACCAGATGCCGGTACCAGCGCCATCTAAGGGAAGCCCGCCCTCGTGACATCTCGAGTGAAAAACAGTCCACCAAGCTGCAGCCAGTTGCAGCGTGTGTTGTGAGCCTTCCTACAATACAAGTGAGCTTAGAATGGTCAAAACACCTGGTGCACCACCAACGCCGACGCACAGACGTGCGTGTGGCAGGTTGTGGTGGGGCAAAGGCGTTTGACGGCGTGACACGGCACCGAGCTCGTCGTCACCGACACCCGGCCGGAAGAGCTGACGGGCGGACAACAGCCCCGGCGGCTGGCGGCGGACCGAAGGACCAGGCGTCCAACAGCCCCGGCGGCTGGCGGCGGACCGGAGGACCAGGCGTCCAACAGCCCGCAGGACGCCAGGCGGGGCTCTGAGCTCCGGAGCAGCTGCCTGCGATCCCACCGCTGAGCTAAGCTGACGGCCGACGGCTCAGGGAGCTGGACGGACAGCGCGCCCGCCGGCCATCTGCTCCCATACCCCGTCGACGGACCTCCCCTCGAAATCCGGTAACGCTAGGGCGTTGTCCACTAGCGGATTCTGATGAGGCTGTTGCGTCCAGGTTTAGTAATAATATGGGCCTTGAAACGGGCCAGGCCTCCGAACCAAGCTCACTGTGGCGAGGCGGTCACTGTTCGGGCACGAGCCTGGCGCCTCGCTTCCGATAGAGACGCGGCGGCGGCCGCGGGCGCCAGCGGAGCGGAACTCGAGCACGCGGTATGGCCGGCCGGCCGTGGCGCCGCCCGCGGCCCCGTCCGGCTCCGGATCGGGCCCGCTTTCCGCCCGCCATCAGCACCTGGCCGGCGGGCTCCGGCCAGGCCAGGCGCGCCGCCAGGCAGCACACCTGGGGGGCGCCGCCGACACAGCCCGGGCCGCCGCGCGCCACCGCCCAATGGCGGCGCGCGGCGGTCCGGTCCGGCTGAGCTGCGCCAGGGGCGTGCCCAGCGTGCGCCACGACGGCGGTTGCTGGCTCCGCCCGTGCGGCTGGCGTCCGGGCTCGGCCGGCGTACGGGCCGACTGCTAGTCTGCCGGTGGTAGCGGCCGGCCGGGAGGCGGACGATGGGAGACAGCCGCCCGGCCAGGCCTCGCTCCGACAGGCGAGCGGCGCGCTGGACACACGAGCTGTGAGCGGCGCAGTGACGTGCCAGGTGGCACGTGCGAGTGAGCAGTGCGCCCCACGCCGCCTGCCAGTCCACGGGGAAAGACAGCGCGACGTGCTCGCCCAGCTTCCCGGCCTGGGGTAAGTAAAGTGGTGAAGCAAGTGAAAAGGGGAGCGTCATACGCGCAAGCGTCGCTGAAATTGAGCATTGGGCGTGAAATGGCCTGCTTGCCAGTCCACGCGCACAGGCTGGAGTTCGCTCCCCGTTCCAACACTTCAGTGAGGGAGCTCGCTCGTGGGTGCGCTTGCCACGAGGTTTGCTTTGTTTATCACCTCGTGGCATAGCACCGGTTGGTCTTGCAAAGATCGGCGTTAGTGCCGCGTCCAATATGCTCCCCCGACTGTTTGTTTTCGACTTCCAACATTTTTTAACAGTTAAAATGGTGCTTTGGTGTAGCAAAATACCGTTGGTAAGGTTTGCGAACACAACAGTTTTGCATGACAGCTTCCAGCTATAAAGAGCACCACATCCCATTGTTGAAACCGTGCGCGGAAAATTAACCTACACGTAGTCCAGAGGCCTTCACGGGTTACATTCACCTGATCCAATCCTTCCTCTGCTCATGGGGCAGTGACAATACATACGTGCTAACCCTTATGAGTTGTTCCCACCCTTCATCCAGCCGTTGTTAATTTTTCCCGCTTGCACCCAAGCTTACTCTTATGGCGATGACTGCACAAGATGTGCAATTGAAGCTATTCTATCAATCACTCAAACAAGTGCGAGCAGTAACATTGTGAAACCTTTTTAAAATATCAGCCCTACGTTTCGTAGACGTCTTGCCCACACCCGAATTTTTACCAATACCAATCGTAATTTTCCGAACATAATGCCCAGCTCAATGCGCCGCCCAATCCGGCGGGATACCTGCGGACCTAGCCAGCCCGTTAGGGCTTCCAACAGCAGTCCATCTCACCTGCTGATAGAGGCTATCGCCTGTTGGCAGTTGTATTTCTCTGCCGAGGAGCCTTCACACCTAACGCCCACCAGACCAAAACCCTTTTCTGGCCGCCAGCCAGCAACATGCGACCAGGAGTGTCCCTGCCTCGATGTTACCCAGTAGCAGGCATAATGAAGCCTCAGAAATAAGTATAGTAGTAATATTGGCACAAAAACGGTGCAGTTGACGCGACCTCAAAACTAAAAAGTGATAACCTCAAAACTAACTCAGTGATCATAATAATTACATCACGCATAACGCATAATGACAACAACCATAAAGACAAACCGTCAAGCTACCTACGTAGGGGTAAAAGTAACGAAATATTGCTGGGTATAAGACAAAAAAGTAGTAGTGGGCAAAAATACAGCATAACTGTCCGCTACTGTCCCTAAGTCAATAGCTCACTCACTTCGATATTAGTGCACATCATGCAGCAACATATCATATAATATATTTCATGTAATGGCAAATCCCTGCCGTCTGAGAAGAGACCTGTTCCGCGGCGCAGCAGCTCATGCAGTCCTGTTCAGGGGATCAGAGGTCATCGATCCGCTGTCCGGCCGCCCACCAGGCTCAGTAAGCTGGCTGCCAGCTTGGTCGCGCAAGCTGACATCTGCCTGTCAGCTAAGTCGATCAAGTCCGTGCAGCGATGGCTGGTGTTTCGGCGTGAGTACACATCGACCGCGAATGGTGACAAGACCTGCCGGACTGGAGGACCGGAGGTCAGGGAGCTCAGACGTCCAGCGGTTTTCCCGGGCCTTGTTCTGGCGCCGTCACACGCACCATCGTACAATGGCGTACAACCTGTTTCGCCACGAAGTCTGCTACTTGTATCAGTAGCTGCCAACCGCCTTCAACGGCATTTTGATGCCCAGGACAGGGTGATTTGTCGTGTTCATTACTTGTTGTCTATACCTTTTGACTCATTCGGTTCGGCTGGCAGTGACGGATACGCGATGCACTTGAAGTAGAGACGGATACGCGATGCACTTGAAGTAGAGACGGACACGCGATGCACTTGAAGTAGAGACGGATATGCGATGCACTTGAAGTAGAGACGGATATGCGATGCACTTGGAGTAGAGACGGATATGCGATGCACTTGAAGTAGAGACGGACACGCGATGCACTTGAATTAGAGACGGACACGCGATGCACTTGAAGTAGAGTTGGATATGCGGTGCACTTGAAGTAGAGACGGACACGCGATGCACTTGAAGTAGAGACGGACACGCGATGCACTTGAAGTAGAGACGGACACGCGATGCACTTGAAGTAGAGACGGATATGCCATGCACTTGCCGTAGAGACGGATATGTGATGCACTTGAAAGACTTGTCAATCATTTCGGAAACTTCTGCGTGTGAACAAAATATGTAATGATACTTGTGGACTCCAGGGGCATCAAATTTGGTGTCAAGGGAGGATTGATCATTTTAGTTGTTTTTTGGCGATGTTGGCTAGTGTTGGCTAACTATCTCTCAGAGACATTGTTTTGTAGCCTGTCCGAAAGTGAGGCCGGTTTGTCAAAAGGTCCACAAAACGATGTTCGGATGGAAGTGAACATATTTTTATGCGTGCAAATATGGAAAATATAATTCATAGCGCATATATGTGTCACGCGAATTCTTTGGCAGGGACTAATTGACGTGGTCGCATCACGCTGGTTGGCTGCAATCAGCCTACAGTGTGCTCATAAACGACAACGGACCGTGCGAAACAGACCTCCCAGGACCGTGGGAAATGCGTTAATGTGTAGGCACCGCTTTTTCTTGATCTTAACGCACTTGACACCTTTTTTGGAAGCTTGCTCTCCAGACGGCCTTTGGTCCCTTCCAAGGTCCCATGCTGCATTCGCCCCTGAGCGGGATCACTTCAGGCTGATCCAGGTATCAGTTGCCTGGATCGCTAGCCGCAACAATGGCTAGCAGCGTCTTCAGAGCCCCTATGGTGCAGAGGAAATTCTCGGTGTGATTTACGCGGATTGTGGTGGGGTTCTGCGTAAAAACAGTCGGTGCATGCAGGCGATTTTTCATGTATTTTACCGAAATACTAAGAACGTAAGATCCATGATTTCCGCAAATGCCCGCCAAACCATGTGTTTGCTTGTGTCAAACGTATGACGTTACACCATGCTGGCTGGAATTTTTCCTTTCCCAAAACTTCTTATGATCGTGGAAAGTAAGACCTGGTCAGCTGGCCCATGGGTTTGATTCAGTTTTGTAATCTTGTCGCCTCCCACTGTTCCTTCCAGACGTTTTCCAAACTGTATGTCAACCGGACCACCGGACGGGTTTTACCCTTGTCACAACGCCCGAGATAGTTTGATTCGATGAAAAGTACTTATTAGCTATTGCTCTTCGGTTTCGCGCAGACTCCTTACTAGGACGTCTAACATCTCCAGTTTAATCACACATCTCCTGTTTTGATGTTTATGTCCTCAACCCCGATGACGGCAGTATGGGTAGGTATAATGGAGCACCACCGACCAGAGCTAATGACGACGGGTTAGGGGTATTGGAGCGGCGCCGACTACAGCTTGTTATGTCCTCAGCCGTGGTGACTACGATATGGCTCAGGTATTTTGGATGGAGGGTGAAGTTCCAACCGAGCTCGGACGTTGGAGTTCCAGCCGAGCTCAGACGGTGGGGCCCCAGCTGAGCTCGGACGGTGGTGCCCCAACCGAGCTCGGACGGCGGAACCCCAGCTGAGCCCGGACGGTGGAGTCCCAGCTGAGCTCGGACAACGAAGTCCTTTCGCTCCGCGCGCGGTGCAGCGGGCGACGCCGTCCGGCACCTGCTCGTCCAGACGGTGTGGACACCGTCCGGTGCTGTGAGCGGACCGCGGCTCGATCTTGCGTCATTGCCGTGCAGCGGGAAGGAGTGGCCGCACCAGGTGTGCAGTCACGGCAGTCACGCCCCCGCGCCGCCGCCATTGTCGGCTCCTCGCGACGCCCGCCAGCGTCCATAGTCACGCCAGTCACACACGCACACGCCGGCACGGTATTATACGTCTCCTTGCAAAAGGCGTAGCTCGGTGTGCCGGTGTTTACAGCAGATAATAAATACTCCATTTGGCCCTTATTTGGGGGGGGGGGGGGTTTCTGACGCTTCTTTTAATTAAGAGTTCAGTCGCTGTGTGAGGCAGGATGGAGACGAGACGCATGTCAGGCGAAATATCTTCCGTTCAGTTTATTTCCAAAGCACCAAAAGCTTACCAAACTTGCCAAAAGCTTACCAAGCTCTTACCAAAAGCTCAGAGCGTAAAGTGTGCTTGATGGAATAACCATCGCTTGGATGCTTTAGGATTTGGAAAGCCGGACTTTAAAGCTGATCTTACGTGATATCTGCCACTCGTTGATGAGACCATGCAGCTACATGTGAGGTGTCACGAGGCCGTCGTAACCGCCGTAAGCAGTAAGAAGTTTTGGGTAATAATGATTCGCGGACGTTGTTTGGTTTCATCGGCACTTGTCAAACGAATAATTTTTTATGACGCGTTCTTCGAAACACATACGCGACGGGAAACGCAACGATTAAAAGCGTTCATTTGGAAAGGAGCGACGTACCGCGGGCTCAGGGTATCTTGCACAGAGGTGGAGAGGATTACGCTGAAGTGATGTCTAGCGCTTGTGCATCTCGGTCTTGATTTTAAGCTGCACAGGCATCCACACATTGGTAACATAGCGCATCATTTTGCTGAATTGTGTCTGAATAATATGGAAGAAATCTCTTAGTATTATGACTTTTCAGTGAACCACCCTATCATTCAGCACTGGTTTCGTGTGCAAAGCTGCTTTTTGTTGTCACAGCACGAATCACCCACATTGGCCCGCCGTGGGAACATTTTGCACAAAACGTGCGCAAGATATATGTCTTTACCGCAGCCAAATTTCACAATGCTGACGTTTACCGGCTTTCATTGGTCTCAAAAAAGCTGGGGGGGGGGGGGAGGGGACTAGCAGCCCACCCGCCGTGGGGTTGATGTCTAATTATCCAATCTTTCTACAAAAAATATGTTGTAAACTCTGGTTCCAGTCGTCTCTCTTTATGATAATCGGCAGATGCGCGATGCGTACAAGACCCTTCAAATTCTCAGTTGACGCCACCGCCTCCTTGCCGGGTTGGTGGCATGTCTTTGATGTGGACACCGGGTTATCACCATCGCATGACGCGTGGACGACGCCTGCCTGGCCTAGAATTCAGGCCAAGTCACTTAGCACCAATCGTCTCACTCGTGTCGGCCGTATATTATCATTACACCGACCCTTCGTAGCCACATGATAATGCCCCCCTGGCTAAATTACGTCCCGGCTGGACGTTTGACTGCGTTTGATATTACACCCGCTCTCAGATGGAGCGACAACATGGCAAACTCGGGCAACGCTGAGCGGGTTTACTCCGCCGAAGGGCGGTCGGCGGTTTGTGTATTACACCGGTCGGCGTTCGTAATGAGTGGGAAGAGATGGTTCGTCGCGTTAATGCCCCATCATCGTGCACTTGGCTGTCAGCACGCCTAGCAGCACTGGGTGTAACCGACTAAGCGGCCCACGCTGCGCTGCCGGAGTTGCGCCGACGGTTTCTGTCACATGTCTAGAATGCTGCTGTTTGACTCAGGCACTGAACGATGCCTATGGACGTCGGCCGCAGTAATAATGACGCGTCGTGAAAAAAGTATTATCTTGCGTGGTGCAGTGTAAGTACTTTTTGTGTTCGCGCTTGGGTGAAAAATATTGAATGAACCGTATTATTCAATAAACTCTGACATTTTTCTCAGCTCAAATGCAAAAATTGGTCAATTAGTTGTAGTGACGATGCAGGTATACGCACATGGGTGCCGAATGACGAGAAAAGTTGATGTGCCAAAGCCGTCGGAACGAGCACCTTTCAGTGGCAAAAGGATAAAATTAGGCACATTCCGCTCTAGTTGGTTTGCCCGGTGGCACCTCTGCTATGTTACACCCTTCCTCCTCGCCGAAACACCGATATTTCACGCACAGCACTTGCACAAGGTAAAAATGAATGAATGCTTAGAGGGAGTGTTCCACACTTATATGGACTTTTAAACTTAAGTAGTCATCTTGAAGACCATTCGGTGTAGTTTACAGCCCTGCCCTTCTTAAGACCTAAACGCTTCTAACTTCTGAGCTATTTGCACGCGAATATGTGAAAACTATTTCGGGGAGACTTATTCAAGATCACCCATCTGCCCATGAGTTATAATAACGTCATTCAAATCCTCCCAGTTTATTGGGCATGCGACGAACAAGGCCACGAAACATATATTTGCTAAGCCGTTCTTATCTGGCGCTCGTGAGCACGATTTCCAAATGAAATGGCCGTCAACTGGCTCTTAATTGATGTGATGCAAGGTACAATGGCGAAATCAAACAATGACGTATTCAGGAGCACGTTTATCAAACAAAAATTTGTGTCATCTAGAATAGCGTTTTCGAAAAAAATATGCCCGTTGGGCTCATTTCATTATATTTTATGCTTGCTTCAGTACTTTCATTTGTGAAGCAAAAGCTTTTTGAGCTGAATCTAACTGAATGAAACATGTGGAATAAATTTTTCGTAGCTGGCATATCTGTGATATTTTTGGTATTATGTAGCAAACCATAGGGTCAAACTGCTCAGCGACGGGGCTCTAGTCTATCTAAGTCTAAGTCACCGGGCAACTGCAGTTACATTTAATGCGATGCATCTACATCATACTTTAATTTATGCTCTCTCCGCCCAATCCCAGCGCACTTACGCGTCTGTACTGATAAATTAATAAAAAATCTGCTCGCATTTTCTCCCGATTTTTGCCTCCGAATGACAGTTTAGCATCGCGCACGTCTCGAATATTTGTTCACTCTCAAGCCTCGTCAAAGTACCGCAAACGAAACGTTGGTATACATTACATATAACTGAGCATACAGATCTTGAACAAGATTCGAGCATTTCACCGAGCATTTGAATTCTGTGAAGAAGATCGGTGTTGTAAACAAGACGTTGGTCGAGCTCGGGGACTACTGATCTAGGGGACTAAGTGGATGGAGCTGAGCATTCTGATGCAAACATTTGAATGTGTGACCAAAAATTTTCATCCGGTAGATATTGAAATACCGAAATCAGCATAAAGCGCTCATGACATGTCGAGTATCTATTGAAAAGTACAAAACAGTTACCAAGGTACTCAATGATGAGTTTTTGTTCTGCTAGGAATTTTGTATCATACTATTATCTAATTTTCTATTTAAATTAGATCTTCCCTGTAATCGTAGGAAAAAGATGGGGTGCTTAAGGCCTACTGAAGTCGCGTTCAAGTCCCAGAGAGAAGGCATTGTACCGCAATGCCAGTGCACCATTAAAGAAAGTGTTTCACATTTCTATTGGGTTTTGAACTGAAATAACCATCTTAAGGACCATCCGGTGCAGTTCACAACCCTGCCCTCCTTAAAACCTGAACCCTTCTAGTTTCTGAGCTACACGGCCGCTGATAAGTATAGACTATTTCAAGGTCACTAAGGCATCCATGACGTCATAATAACGTCATTGAAATCCTGCCAATTTATTCATATCTGGCTTTCGTGAGTACGACTTCCAGATATCACGGCCGCCCATTGGATCGCAATCAATGTTGAGCAAGGTATTGACGAGCTTATTTACTACACAGGGAAATTGTGTTGTCTTGAGCAGCATGCTCCACTTAAAAGGATACCAATAGTTTATAAGTGAGCTTATTTCATCATATCTGATGCTTACTTCGATATATTCAAATGCGGGATACTCCATTTAATGTCCGGGTTCCCTTGGTATGTTTGGCAGCAACACGTAGGAGCATTGCAGCGTTGAGATCAAAGGTCTTGCAGCATAAAATAGTTATTGAGATTTTGAATGAAATGCGGTAGGTTCCTGTCCACATACTGGGATTTTATACCTGTTTTGAGAAAATGACGGAGTTCATGTGCTCACCTTCAGCAATTTTATTTATATTTGACCCAGTATCTCTCAACCTGCAACACCACTGAAAAGTTGTCGACCCCTTGCTCGGTATGCATACGTATGAAGCATCACACGTAAAAATTACCAGCAATCATGTAGAAAATTCGAATGTATGTTACCGCAGATTTGAGTGTCGAAATGAAACCGAATGTGCAGCGCTAGGATGTATAGAATGCTTAAAACTTTTCCATCTTATCCGAGGGAAAAATCCGGAACGCGCCTAGAATTACGACGCACGCTTTTCTTTTAGACCGGAATGGTCACTCTAATGACCTTGGCACCTGGCACAAAGAGCTATTGACGCTTTGTGTCAGTCCATTACATTTAGCATGACGACGTTATCTTATCACACGTTGACAAATGCTCCGTTTATGTGTTGCTGATGGCTTGTTTCTCACTACAGCTGTTTGTGATTAGCTCACGCACTGTCTGTCCTTTGGCTTCAGTGCACCGCTCGTGGGAAAGAACACCGCGGAGCGTGAGCACCAGTGACGGCTGCTGGACAGGTGTCGAGTTCGCCAGTGACCTGCCCACCGACGCTGGCCGCTCCCGGGGGCCGGCGCTGACCAGAGGGGGCAGCTCGCCACGCGGCCGCCACCCCGGCCCCGGGACAGTTCAGCATGGCCATCTGCAGGACAGCACTGCTGCCGCTACGGGTGATGCTCTTCTCATTCTACGGAGGTAAGGGAAGGCGTGCCGGCGAGCCGGGCGCCCAGTCGGGCCTCATTCTACGAAGGTGAGGGACGGCGTGCCGGCAAGCCGGGCGCCCAATCGGGCCTTATTCTACGGAGGTGAGGGACGGCGTGCCGGCGAGCCGGGCGCCCAGTTAGGCCTCATTCTACGGAGGTGAGGGGCGGCGTGCTGGCGAGCCGGGCGCCCAGTTAGGCCTCATTCTACGGAGGTGAGGGGCGGCGTGCCGGCGAGCCGGGCGCCCAGTCGGACCTCATTCTATGGAGGTGAGGGGCGGCGCGCCGGCGAGCCGGGGCGTCCAGTCGGGCCTTACTCTACGGAGGTGAGGGGCGGCGTGCCGGCGAGCCGGGGCGCCCAGTCGAGCCTCATCAGCTGACAGCCTCCGCTGTCAATAAGTCACCATCAACACAACGAGCTCCGATGGGAAAATTACCCGCCCTGAAACGCCGACGACGCAACCACAGCCATGTTACGCGCCACGCACACGCCGGCGCGTGCACGTAATACGGTCGTAGGCACACGCACGCTAGCATGAATGAAAGGGATGCCATTCGTCGGCACGCATACACACACGCACATTCCTCTATCAAGTCTCGAGTGCCCACGTATTTGCTATTCCACGTGGCCGGAAACCCAGTGTGCGATCGAACTCCCCAGTTGAATGGTTGTGTTGGTAGACCCCGGGGTGTTCTTGAAGCTTGTGCCCAGTTGAAATATCCGTGTTCAATTGAAGTCCGTCCCCATGACTCAGTGGGTGCCTTCCGAGCCACCCATGGCGGGTTGGGTTCGAGTCGCTTTAGGCTCTCGTTATTTGTGTTCACATATATGGCTTATGGCGGGTGGCAGCGGCCGCACTAAAGATCGTGTGACGTCTGTGGGCAGGACGGGCGTGTGCCAAGCATTGCGGCACCTTCAAATTTCGCCATCAAACTCTGCCATTGACCTGGAATTGCTCGATCGGGTGGTAGGGATCAGGGCTCGCGCAACAAGCACTGCTTAACATGAGCTCTGATACCAGAAATCCGTCCATTCGAAAGGTTTGGATTAAGCCTGAAAAGTCTCGGGTCTATTCAAAGTTTCCGCGTCATGCTATTAACTTTGGACAGATTTCCGAGCCTCACCCCGTGACCCCTGCCCCCGCTATGCCGCCACAAACTGCCTCCAGCCTGACAGCGCCACCAGGCGCCCTTCGTGACCGTGCCTCCCGGCTGTGCCGGCAGGCATCAGCTGCGTGCTGCCGTTCGTCACGCTCCACATGTCGACGCTGGGCCTGACGGCCGACGAGCTGAGCTGGCTGCAGTTCGTGCTGCCGTTCGTCGGCTGCGCTGGCCCACTGCTGGGCGGCGCGCTGGCCGACCGCTGGGGCAGCTACCGGCCGCTGCTGGTGGCGTCGCTGCTGGTCTGCGCCGCCGCCTACCCCTGCCTGATGCTGGTGCCGGCCGTGCGGGAGCCGGCGTCGCGACCCAGCCCGACGCTCTCCTTCCACTGCAACGACGAGGGCAGCGCGGTGGCTAGCGAGTGGTGCGGCGCCGCCTGCCAGCCGGGCGACGATGTGCTCCGCGTCTACTACCTGGAGCGGTGCTCGTTCGAGTGCGAGCCGGGGGTGACGCTGCCGTCCGGTCTGCCGCACCTCTGCCTCGAGGCCGACAACAGCACCTTCTGCGAGGTAGTGGCCGACGTCGGCGACGGCCTGGTGGTGAACGCGTCGCTGCCGCGCGTCCTGCCGCGGCCCGAGCTGCGCCAGTGCTGGTATCCGCTGGTGGACCTGATGTCGCGCGGCGAGCGGTACCGTGGCCTCGCCTGCCGCAGCCCGCCCGGCTGCGGCGTGCGCTGCCAGCCGCGACAGCTCACCGCCCAGGACCTGCTCTTCACCGGAGAGCGGTGCGCGGAGGACCTCGGCGACCGACGGCTCACCTTCTGGCTGTACTTCGGCCTGCGCGCGCTGACCGAGCTGTGCCTGCCGCTGGCGCTGGTGTTGATCAACGCCACCGTGCTGCTGCTGCGCCGACGACACGACTCCGACTTCGGCTGGGAGTTCGTCTGGGGGCTGCTCGGTCTCATGACGTTCGCGCCATTCTGCGGCTATCTGATCGACGTACACGGAAAGCTCTTCCACTACCTGGACTTCCGGCCCAGCTTTTACGTCTTCTGCGCGCTGATGTTGATCTGCGTGATTCTTGCGTCAGTGTTGCCAGTGCAGCCGCCGCCGACGCCGGGCGGCCGCTCCTACTCACGCCTGCTCGCCAAGAGTCTCGGCAACTTGGAGTTCTTCAGCGTGCTGTGCGTGCTGCTGCTGCTCGGCTCGCTCTGGGGCTTTCTCGAGGCGTTCCTGTACGCCCACCTGCAGAGCCTGGGCGGCACCCAACTGCAGAACGGCCTGAGCCTGGTGGCCGGCGCCCTGCTGCTGGTGCCCTTCCTGCTGAAGGCCGAGCCGCTCATAAACTACTGCGGACACCACCACATTTTCATCATCGCCTTCATCCTCTACATCGTCCGCTACGTCAGTGAGTACTTCCGTCGTGTGACTCCTGAGCCCGCTCTCAGCCCATCGGCTGCTCCGCCTCCCCCACCCGTTTATGGAATGCGGTTGTGTTGGGCGTGGTGCTTACACGACTGTGCTGCTCTCTGTGTGGCACGCCCACGCTCAGTTAACGAGCTTTGGATCTGAGCCCGGTGGTATTCCGCCTACCCACAAACAACCGGCTGGGGAAAGTGCATACTTCCAGCGCGTCCTACAAATCTGTTCAACTTGTCTAAGCGCCTTTCGGCACGACAATGATTGATGTCCTTTTTTGTGCTCTTTTGTATGCCCCTTGCCTAACTGTGAATGCGATCCAATTAGAGATGCATTGCGTCGGACAGACAGCATGGGCACAGATGAGTTAAGTGCATGAAACCCTTCCTTCAATCTCGGCAAAGCAACACGACAGACGCCCAGGTCGCCTGTAATTAGCTGGTGCATTGCTCCCTGTACGGCAGTCATTTTCACTGACCTGCACACCTATGTCAGAAACCAGGCAAGTGCGCATTCTGCAGTAGCGTTTCATTTGCCCACGCTTGTCAGCACGCCCGGGACAAGGCGTCATTTGCATAGTTCGGCTGACGATAAGCCCGGGGCGTGGAGGCGCTGTCACCGCCGGCCCGTTCCGCATGGTCGCCGGCTCATTCCATGCCGTAGAGCCAGGCTATTGTGACCCGCTAGAGCACGCACAGCCCGCAAATCATGGCTCATTAGGAGGGAAGGAGGATTATATATTGGTAGCGCTGTGTAGATTGCTAACGTGACGCCTTCGCCCGAGTGTCGTATCGACAGACTGGGCTCGACATCCGACCACGCAGAGTGTGTACTTTTGGCGCCGACTAAGGTAGCTGTCCGGGGTTACACACGACCCAGTAATTGTGAAAGTCGCCGGCGTCGTGGAGGCTCTCGGATCGCCGAGCACGTGCATTGACGAAAAACGACAATATCCACGAAACCGATCGTTAGAGGAGAGGATCAGCCATGAATCCTAGAACCCAGCAACACAACCCGGTAGTCACACGGGGCACAAGGACTTTTGTCACCGGAACTCGGGACCATGGAAAGTGAAGCTAGCACTGCACTGGGGCCATGGAAGGTAAAACCCGCAACTCGGCGAATCAGGGAGCGGGACGTCCACTGACATAGGTCAAGGTCACACTTGACCGGGAAGTCGATGGAAGGGGCTGAAAATGTGCTATCAGATTCAGTGGTAAAGTGACGAGGAAACGAGAAAAACTGACCGGTGCAATGACATTTATAGGAAGACGTGCCAATGAAAGCAGACCGGACTAATGACCAAAGCACAGCGATTAGACTGAACTGGAGAACAGTGCCCTACTGCATGAACAGGCGTGAACAAGGCATATAGCCTCTACTGAGGGCACACAATATCAGGGAGCAGAAACTCCCCTGGGAGTGAACGGGGCCGGAAGATAGGGACTTCAGTGGGAAAGGACGGAATGGGGAACAGCGTGTCAGTCGGAGGTAGTGGGATCAGGGAACGGGAATTTCGCCGTAAATAGACAGTATCAGGTATCAGAAACTCCGCTAAAACAGGTGGGTCCTTGAAAGATGGACTTCACTGATAGACGGGACAATGATGGGACAGCACGTCCCAGGCTGGGACAGTGTGCCTATTGAGATGGGACAGGACCAAGGAACAGTGCCTTTATTAGGAGCGGATGGTCCCAATAAAGGCTGTATCGCCGGTATGAGAAAGCAGGGCTAGGAAACGTCGGCTTCATAAGTAGCAGATACACTAGGGTGGTTTCTCATTATAGCCTGACATGGGACTCTGGAGCAGGTGTGCGGAATCGTAGAACAATAACTCAAGCGCAAAATGTACGACAGCCTAAAACTGCCGCGTCGTAATGCTCCTAAAAGCATGACACTTGTGTGCATAGATATACAGGCGGTGTAAGGTTAACACTTTTCATCTCCGTTTCAAAAATCTTAGCTTTAAGTGCGGGACTGTGCTTCACCCAGTAGACCTGAGGGATTGCTTTAAACCGCCCCACAATCTACTTCGAAGCTGACCGGGTACCATCTTCCGTCGACCAATCACAAGGTGTCAATCAGCAGCAGAGCAGCGCACAGTAGACTGTCTGAAGCAGGGCATCGAGCATCTTCACATGAACCTGACACCATGTTCTAGTCGTCAGTATTCTTGAGCACAGATACCATGATTGCGGTCACCTTAGGATGGTCAATGACAGCTGGACTGTGCGCAATATGTAAGAGTTTTGGGACGACGGAAAACAAATTTTCCTTGCCACATTACCACCATTCTGTAATCACACAGCAAGGACCCCCCCCCCCCCCCCCCCCCAGCTGCGTATTGAGATTTTACTTAACGTGCGCAAATTCTAACGTTTTAGGGCTAGATAGATGGGATATTTACTTTTGAGTAAATTGGATAAAACAAAGCTGACAAAGTAAAATTCAATGTCTTATAGTCACCACTAATGTCGACTAACTGCACGATGTCTTACTCCAAACTTACTCCAAACTACGTGGTCAAGCCTAATTGTCGCGCATCCGCGTTCTACCTCCCCATGACGAACAACCTAATTTTCTGCGGCGAGTTTATCAGAAAGATAGATAAGCTAGAGCATAGCCAACCAACGTCCTGCTACCACAATCTCTCTTACCAAAGCAACAGAGGAAACGAGCGAGCCGTGCCTACATACCCCTCGTGGGTATGGCACGGGTCGCGTGTTCAGTACCAGATGCCAGTCCTGACTCAGCGCCGACCGTACTCCCTCGCCATTGTTCCTTGTAAGCAAGCAGTGCTGCCAAACGGCGCTGTAAGGAGAGTTGCCTGACTGCACGCCGCTGTTTGTTTGTCCTGGTAGGCGTGCTGTTGGGCCGCCGTGTTCAGGCCATGCGTCCAGAGGCTCATCTGGCAGCAGGACTGTGTGTCTGGGGTGTGCAACTGCGCCATGTCGCACAGCGTGTGACCTAGATGTGCAACTGCGCCACGTCGCACAGCGTGTGACCGAGGTGTGCAGCTGCACCATGTCGCACAGCAAACAGTAAAACAGTCCCAGCAAACAGTCTCAGCAAACAAACTCCGGCGATTCGTTTTCGCTTTATTTTCTCACGTCGGTGAGGCCGTCACAAGCATTCAAATGAGCCTGCTGTGATTATTCAATTGGCGAACGCCTTGGCGCTGCCGTTTGTGCACACAGACCGAACGCCGTCCTGCTCAGTCCGTCTGTGGTCCTACCCAGCCGGTATAGGCCCGTCCGCGGTCCCGCCCAGCCGGTATAGGCCCGTCCGTGGTCCCGCCCAGCTGGTATAAGTCCGTCCGTGGTCCTGTCCAGCCGGTATAAGTCCGTCCGTGGTCCCGCCCAGCCGGTATAAGTCCGTCCGTGGTCCCGCCCAGCCGGTATAAGTCCGTCCGTGGTCCTGCCTAGCTGGTATAAGTCTGTCCGTGGTCCTGTCCAGCCGGTATAAGTCCGTCCGTGGTCCCGCCCAGCCGGTATAAGTCCGTCCGTGGTCTCGCCCAGCCGGTATAAGTCCGTCCGTGGTCCTGCCTAGCTGGTATAAGTCTGTCCGTGGTCCTGCCCAGCCGGTATAAGTCCGTCCGTGGTCCTGTCCAGCCGGTATAGGTCCGTCGGTGGTCCTGCCCAGTCGGCATAAGTCCATCCGTGGTCATGCCTAGTCGGTATATGTCCGTCGATGGTCCTGCCCAGCCGGCATAAGTCCGCTTGTGGTCCTTCCCAGCTGGTGAAGTCCGACTGAGCGTCGACAAGCAAAGGATCGCCGACGCGCGGCCCCGCTCGGCGCGTGATGGAGTACGGCTTTTCAGACATGGATGCTGGGTCCGTCCCAAGCCTTGAGTGTTTATCAGGAAGCGCATGGTTATGTGAAGTATGTAGTGTTCGTGTTCACACCACTGTTCGAGGACTGACGCTCCCTGGACGGCCGCCATCAGGCCCCACGACCGCCGTCGTCCCAGAATAGCAAGCTGAGCAACTCACCAACAACAGTCTTTGTGCCATAGGCGACGCATAAGCCGCGCACAAACGTTTTGATGCCAGACGAGGCTTCGGCAGTGTTTTCCGCGGTGATCAAGTTCTTGTGTTGAGGCTCCTCGTGCTGTCTTAGTGGCATATGCGTAGCAAAAGAGTGCAGCTATCATTACAGCAGTGTATCAAATCACAGGCTTTAACCCACCAGCAATTCGTGTATGCCTGAAATGAGTAAAAAGTAGCGATATACGCTCCTGATCATTTGGTATCTCTTCTTTTTCTCCTTTTGGCGGCAGTTTTTTCTCTTTACCTTGTAATAATTCCACAAGCCTCAGCCATGGGGCAACCAAGCGTTCGAGGCACTTCCAGTACAGCAGTGCAGGCGCAGGTGGCACAGGGGCACGCGCCTCTACCCCATTAGGTTCCGAGGGGTCCTTTCAAGAAGCCCGGAGGTCAGAATCTACGCTTCAGGGCCCGATTTGATAGCCCGAAGAGCCCGAAAGGCCGGAGGTCACATTTAGGGGCCGGGCACTCCAATGCCAGCCAGAAGAGCCCTGCGCGCTGGTCAGGGGCCCCCTGAGCCGATAATGGCCTTTATATTGGGTAAGCGCCACCAGTTACACACATTCGCCTGCCTGCAAAATGGTGCCGGTGGGTCCATTTCCCTGGCAATAGTGAAACTGGGGCCGGCGACTTACCTTTGTTGGCAAGAGGCCCTGAGCTGGTCAGAGGCAGGGTTCGAGGGGGCCCAGAGAGCCTAGAGGGCCCATTGAACCCGACGACCAGGTGTCCGATTCTGAGGGTCTAGGGACACGAAGGGCTGGGCCACGCGCGCCAGTCTCTTGGTCTTATCCAAGGGCACGGGCTGCGGGGACGGGCCCTCAAATAATAGTCAGAGGGCCTTTACGCCGATCGGGGACCCCTGAGTCTAACTGGTCCTATATGTAGGTCGGGCACCACCATCCAACGTTTCCAATGTGTATAGCGAACAGCGTGCCCTTTCGGC